AGACCTCCTCTGTGATATTTGAAGAAGGAGGAAGCGGGAGGTAGACCCCGTTGATAATCTTTGTAACAGTGTGAGCACCACCTCCCATGGAATTTGAGTCCAAACTGACAGCAGTAGTCAATATTCCCTATAAAATTTCATTTTTATAAGATGTATAATGACCGCATCTTTTTACTAAGTGACATATGCAGACATTCCAATCAAGGGGGCTTAATATCCTCACCTTCTCTTTAAATTATATGCCTTGCTAGACCAATCAGCATCTAACATGAAAACAGAAACTATTTCAAGAGACACAGCTAATCATGACCTAATGAGTTTCTCTGACACACTTAGAACATGGAAGTGAAACCAGGATATCTAAGAATATACACAGGCACTAAGGCGAAAGCTGCCTGTTGGCAACCCCTAACATAAGAAGATACTTAAAAGGTCTTAAACTGTAACTTCAGTAAAAATGTTTGGGTAGCCCTCTCCTCCCAGTTCTCTCCTCAGAGCAGTTTTACAGCAGTGTGTGGGTTTCCCTTTATTCCTACTTCTAAGTACCTCAGCAGAGAGCTCACATGTGAGGAAGTTTTCAAAATGGCGGCGTGCCTTCAGAAGCACTTGTACATACAAAGAGCTCAGCCCAATTCCATGTAATGGACCTATGGAACTAAGAAGACTTTTAGACTATCAATTCATGGAAGAAGGAAGGACAGCTCAGAAATGTGTAAAGAAAAATCAGCCTTAGGAAAGCCGTCCATGGTTTCCAGCTGATCACAGAGTAAATATGACAGATGCAGATCTTTGTTGTCTGGCTCCAAATCATTCTTTTGCTTTGTTTGAATGTCCTCATTTTCCTGGTCTAGCCTTTGAAAAAATGCCTCAAGTACACTAAGTTCTCTGTTCTTTCTTAGCCTCCCTAGGTGTCCTTTCCACTGGCACCACCTCTCCCTACATTCTCAGTCCAACTTCTCCCCTACTTCACAGTTTGGATGGTAGTTTCCCAAAAAGGTAAGACTTTCCCTGTCCTATAAGGGAGGTGATCTTCCCTATTCAGTGCGCCTGAAGGTCTCCATGTTTCTGTCATAAAAATCACCATGTTAGACCAGGAATTAGCTTAGTGGTATAAGTGCCTGCCTGGCAAGTGCAAGGTCATGAGTTTGATCCCTGGTACCAATAAATAAATAAAAATTTTTAAGAATCACCATATTTGTTGATAACATTTCACAGAGAGACTGTGCAGTTGTTCATCTCTGTACCAACAAATATCACTCAAATTCTAGGTGAAACTTCTTCCTTCAAAAGTCACATAAGAACCAAGAAGACAGAATGTCCAGATAATGGGATTTTGAAAATAACTATGTCATTTTCAAATGAGAACTCCTATTTTTTTTTATATCAGCAATCAAAGTCATGATCTCGCACTTGACAGGCAGGCACTGCGCTGTTGAGTTATATCCCAGCCGTATCATTTCATTTTTAGTAGCGAAAAAAACTAAAAGCAAAAACAAATATCTTTCCAGCACTCAGGGAATGGATTCTATGTCTAGATATCAATAGGAAGAATTATGACATCTCTCACATCACTTCTTGCTCTCAGTGAATTATGTTTACGTTAAGAGTTTAGGATTCCAGGATGTCACCAGCATGATTTCTTCCAGAGAAGATATCAGAAATTATATTTTTCATCACATAATATTATATCATCAATCTGAGTCACACAGCAAACCAGCTGAGTCACTTCTTCTGGCAGGAAATTCAAATAGTGCAAAAGGGACTTAGTAATATCTCATTCACAAAACCAAACTTGGAGCCAAGCAGTTCTGGCCCTGGACATGAATTGTTCAGTTTGGCTGCCTAGGAGTAATATGTCAGCTTCCTCCTTGATCATAAACTTGGAGGGTGGCTGGCCAAGCAATATGCCAAAGGTTTCCAGGCATGGAGAGAGAAAATTTGCACTTTATACGTAGCTTCTTTCTTTCTAGCTCATAAATCTGGGAATTCATGGCATCTCCTTTAAATGTTGTAGTGGAAAAATCGTTCTCTGGGTGGATAAGGGAGAGGAGCACAGCATTAGCAAAGAGAGAAGCTCTGAGAAAATTGGTACTAGGTTGTGGATGCCAGGAGCAAACCCTGGGACCCTGGCTCCTTTTAAGGCCAACTTAATCCTGGTGAGTAAGACAGACAGACAACAGCATGTAGGAAGCTAGGGAAAAGTATTAAGATGTCTTTATACTAGCCTACTGTTTATGTGTTGGAAGTAAAGTCAGGGCAACATGGTGAGGCCTTCCATTAGGAAATAAAGTAGAGAAAACCAAGAATATCCTCTGCTATGATCTGAATACAGGCATCCTTTCTACCTCTCCTCTGTTCACATGTTGGAGCCTACTTACCAATGTGATGATGTCAGAAGGTGGGGACCTTTGGGAGTGATTGATCACAAGGACTGAGCCCTCCTGAATGGGACTAGCTGCTTTCTTCCCTTCTACCATGTGAAGACACCAAGAGTAGGTGTCATCCATGAACCAGGAAACAGGTCCTCACTAGACATCCAATCTGTGGGCGATCTCTTGTCTGATTTGAAGAAGGTTTGGTAATAAAATATGAGAGCTAGGTAGAAAGAACTAGCTGTCAGTGGAAACCATGGTACCCGTCTTCCATGGGCACAGAGGAGCCGAGATGCCCATAGACCTTGCCTCCATCCGTGAGACTGCAGGCTCCTATGCAGGCTCTTCAGCATCATTTACTTGTGCAGCTGGTTCTCCAGTTTAGGCTGAGATCAAGTGACACAATGACTTTTTTCAGGATAGGACACTCAACTGGCATCTCTGTGCCACCAGCTCAACAAAAAAGTTCCCAGTAAACTTGACAATGAAAAATTTCTGGGAGGATCCAACCTGTCCCTGTTAAGCATGGACAAAAAAACTCGCCTTGAAAATTTTCCTTGTCCCCAGCACTCAGCTGCTTCTATGGCCGGAAAGAAAACCATATCATGAAAGTGCCCGTGTTCTTTCTTTACCTCCTCCCTTCCCTTTCCTTCCTGTACAGCTTATTCTAAAAGCCATTATGTGGGGCTAGATAAGATGGTACTGATAGCAGCAGGGATGCGAGGAGCCACAACAGCCCAGTGGGATTTGCTCGAGCCAAAGCAGGATGGGCAAGGGGGAGCGGTGACCAGCGTGGGGAGCTGGTGCTCAAGGAGCCTAAGGTCAGTACTGGCAAGGGGGATGGTAGTGACCACCCAGAAAGTAATGCTGCTACCCATGTTGATAAGGAAAGCAGAAGATTGGTTACATGTAGGGGTGAGAATGACAGAATAATAAATATATTGAGGATAACAGGAACCAAGCATCTTACAACTAAGAAGATGGTTATACGTGTGGAAAAGGAGATCTTATATTAGGATTTTAGCTTACAATTCAAAGATCTTAGGATGAACTCACGGCTTCTGAAAGAGAGAGAGAGAGAGAGAGAGAGAGAGAGAAAGAGACAGAGACAGAGAAAGAGAATATCTATAATTCAGATCCATTGAAGTTGAAAGTGCCTGAAGTACTGATAATCGAGTAGTAATGAGCACACCTAGCACCCAGAGACTGGTTTCTAAACACTGTTTTCTAATAAAAGGAACAAATGTTCTTTGGAGATATAACTGATTTCAGGATTTGGAAAGTGTAAGATGAAACACTTTCTGATACCAGAAAGTAAGGAGGCACTCAGAATAATTGAGATATCTCAGACAAACACAAAAGTTATCCCAAAAGGAAATCTATGAGGAATAAAGCAAAGATAAAAATAGTAAAAGACATGGATGATTGAATAGTGAGTGTAGTAAGATTTCATGAGGCCACACTGACCTGAGTAGTAGATTTAATGTTTCATAAGAAGTAAGGTAAAGATCACACAGCTCCAAAGTATTACCTCCCAAATATTTATTAATTATAAAAGGAAAATGTAGCTTTTAATCTGAAAACCTTGCAGACTCCCTTAATCAAGTGATCAACAATAATATTAAATGATCAGAGCTAATACCGGTCCTTATTGTAGGGACATGTGTCATATCTACCTGTTGGGATGCAGTGAGGATCAGTATAGATTTTGTTGTGTTCCTACCGAAGATACATAACTTGAAGGTCATCAAATTGAAAGCATTCTCTAAAATTAAGGATGATGTCATTGTAGATTTTATGGAAGCCAAGTGTCAAGATGGAATTAGGATCTACACAGACCAAGTTAAATTCCAACAATTATGCTTCAAGGCAACATTTCTTAAATTATCTCTGATAAAAAAAAAGCCACTGCTGATTCCAAAGTACAGTATGCTTTGCTCAAGGTTAGGCACATGGTCTAAAAAATGCACTGTTAGAGCATTTCATCACTGTATAAATACTTTAAGCATACTTCACAAACTGAGTTGTCTATGATGCCATTAGGTGATGCAGTCTTTTGGGACCACCACTGTACATGCACTCGGAAATGTCCTTAGGATGAAAATGACCATAATTGGTGAGTCAAACTCTAATCACTTAGAAGATGCACAGAAACATCTTCCATGGGACAATCAGCAACACTGAGTTACAACTACCATCCCTGGAAAGGGACCCAGCATCCCAAGGGGGTTAGTAGAACACAGCTCCCCAAATCAGATGGGTGTGTTTAATTCCAGATACTGAGGGTCAAGCCACTGACTCCAGTGTAGTACAGACATGGGCCTACTCCAACAGGTTGGAGCCACAGCTTCTCCCTCAGCCAAGAGGCAGCTTTCCACATAAAGCACGACACTTCTGTGTCATGAGCCAAGCCCAAGACCAAGACAGAATGACAAGCAAGGAACCACTGCATCTGCTGGGAAGTGACAAGCACCATCCCAACTCACACACTTCCAGGGGACACTGACACCCTTTTTGTTGAAACCCTCATGCCAGTGCCTCCTGCCACTCACACAGTGCAGCTCCATGCAGAGACCCGTGAGCAGGACTCAGGTTCCACCTCCTGCATGTGATGAGACCTCTACTTACCTGGAGCGGTTTTGTAGCAGGAGGTTCTGGAGGGCAGCGATGGGGCATTCTTGGTCCTGGGGCTTGGGGTGCTCTGCAGCACTTGTCTCTGCCGCTTCAGTTCTTCTTCCCGCTCCTGGGCAGCTCGAATTTCTTCCTCGATCATGGACAAAGTCCGCTGCTTCCTTGATCTCAGCTTGAAGGGCCCAACCATCACGTCAGATTCTTGAGTGGCCAGGAGGGAGGCTGTGCTTCTCAGCTCAGCCGCCTCTGAATACTTGCTGAAGTAGCCCCCTTCGGGCCTGGTCTCCTCCATGTCAATCGGGCCGCTGGGCTGCACAGCTGGAGGCAGCTGGGAGGGTCCCCTTTCCCTGAGCACCCTGTCTTCTGTGGGTAGATTCTTTGGTAATACATCCCTTTTCTCTTGAACAGGAGAGGACACCTGAGGAGGCTTAAACATGCTCTGAGACTTCTCTGAGCTGGGAGCCCTGGTTTCAGTTTCCTCCAGGGTCACTTCTGGTCCCTGCCGTTCTGCTCCGTCCTTGCTGGTTTGGGGCACAGCCTTGTCCACCTGCTCGGCTATGGCTTGTTGAATGGCATTTTGCACCAGAAGACCGGCCTGATATTCTAAGGAGTCATCCATAGATGGAGAATCTCCCAGGGTAGAAGAAGGGGAATAGAAACCATGATCACTGAATGACTTCGAGACTGCTTCTCGGCCCTCTGAGGGGTTATCCGTTTGTGGAGTCTGAGGCAGAGAGAAATCAGCCAGCGAGTTTTCCTGGAGGGCATTGGTTGTCTCATTGGAGGCCCCACTGTCACTGATGTTGTCCATGCTGAAATCGTTGGACAGGGTCTCCAGGACAGTGGTATCCTGGGACCTCACTGACAACTCATCCAAACCTGAGTCAAGTTCCTCTTGAGTCAAAGAGACATTGACTGATCTTGAAAACTGATCCAAAATCCCATGGTCATCATCCTTGACCACAGTGAGGACAGCACGAGCACTCGTAAACTCTCCGTCCTCTGCCCACAGTTTTGATAAGGGCCCACGTTTGGAGGGCTCACTGTAAGGCCCTTCCTTTCCCTGAGGGGTAGCAGTGCCAGGGCCTCCTCCACCAGACTGGGTCTCTGGCACAATGGATGTTTTCTGCCCCTTGGCCACTGATGCACTGCTGTCTTCCGGAGGTCCCACGACAGAAGCTGGTCTCAGGATGGTTGTTGGCTTGTCTGAATTGATGGACCCCAGAGGCCTGTAGAAAGGCTTGATAGAGAAGAGCCGAGGTGTACTCTGGCCCTTGGCCACTGCTTGCCTGGAATTCTCCATCTGCTGGAACTGTTTGCGCGCTGCTAAGAAGTCGATCTGTTCTGTGACGATGTCTTCTTTTGCATGTTCAGTCCCACTGGGACGTTCAAGAGAGGAAGGTGGCATTGCACAGAGCTGTGCTGGGGGCTGCTGCTGTTGCTGTAGTTGCTGCTGTAACAGTAGCTGCTCCTGCTGTGCCCTCCTCTCCTTGCGCTCCTTGTACTTTTTGTGCGACTCCAGATGTTCCTCATCCAGCTGCTCCTCGATGGTTTTCTCCTGGGGAGGATTCCACCACTTCGCTGCAATGCTAGGATTCTTCTTCACAGCCTGACTCCGGATGAGCTCCCTCCTCTCCTTCTCCAGCTCCAGCATCTCTTCTGAAGGCCTCACTTTCCGGACACAGTACTGCTCCTTCTCTCGTTCATCCTCCTCGAAGAGCTTGGAGGGCTTCTTGTCCTCGTGGAAGGCACGCAGTTCAAACTTGGCCTCCTTCTTCAGCGTGGTGAGTGTGAACTCCCCATCTCGGGAAGAACAGCGGGAGCTGGTGGAGGAGCTGGGGCTCACAGGCGCCTGCAGGTTGTCACCCAGTGTGTCTCGGAGCTGGTCAGGGGAGTGGCCGTTTGCCCTTTCCTCCTCTGCCATGGTGTCAGAGGGGCTTCGACTGAGCTCAATGTGAGGAGGAGCCTGCCTGCCCACTACTGTCTCAGCAGGATCAGGTTGGGTGGCTATATGAGCAGATGGGCTTATGCTGCCCACCAGGATCACTGCACCAGGTTCTGGGGACGCTGTTCCGTTGTAAGTCCCATCCACAGCAGAATCACAGCAGTTGGCCTCCAGCACCTCGTCTAGATATCGAATCTCTCTGGCCACATCATTATCGAGGGATTCTTGGTGATGGGTAAGAAGGCCATTGTGTGGGGGTGAATAGAAAGAGGAAGGGTGGTCCATGGAGTGGGGAGTGGAGGTGATTCCAGGAACACTTTTACTACATTCTGTAACGGGCACCTCAATTTCCATGTTTTTGTGATCTGGGGAAAGAGAGCTGGTAGCAGACTCCAGGAGATGACTGCTGTTGTCTCTCTCGCTTTTTAGTTGGTTAGCATCCTCGGAAAGCTGGGGAGGCTTCTAGAACAAAGAGAAAACAAAAGTCAGATGTCTCTTATGGCTCTGAGTGCTGAGGAATTCACTCAAAACTAACAGGATGGAAAATGAAGAAATGATTCTATTCTTTTGAATAGAATCTGCCTTTTCTAATAAGCCATTAACTATTCATGTTGTTGTAACAGAGGCTTAATTCTCTCAGCTTTACAAGCTTCCACCTATTTACTCGTTGTTCAATCGGTGCCAGTTCCATTTTTAAATTTTTTGTACTTATGTAGAAGGGATTATGTAGTTAATGGATCAGAGTCTTCCAAAATATTTCACATCAAACTACTCAGACTTAGTAATAGTACTATTTATGTGTCTGCAACTATAAAAAGAAGGTCCTTTTGTATGAACAAACCTTAAAAGCATGCTTTTATGCCAAATGTAATGTAATTATTCTGGAAACAGGAAACTTTTTGGGAAATTGTTCCATAATAAAACATTGGACAACACTAGACCCCTTCAACAGCGCTTCACAGGCTACAGCGCCTCACTGTCATGGCTGTAATTGGCCATGTACATTATAAACACCATAACCAAAGTCGCTGATTACCTTCTTCAGTTCTCTGGGACTGTATCACAACAAGACTCCTGTTAGTTGAGTGTTGCTTTGAAAAGCTACTCACCAACAGCACTCTCCTCTAGTTTCTAAAATGCTTTTCATGTGTTACCTCCCATTTGTGGTTAAGTAAGAAAATCATATTATCCTAATGTTGTTAAATCCATCATATTCTGCACAAGTTATCTAACCACATAATTTTATTTGGCGCTAATAAGATTAATTTTCAAACTTTAGGGTGATTTTCTTTTCCTATCAAGAGACTCTGGTTTACCTCAAAGAGTTCCAGCAGTAAATTACAAACTTAATGTGAGTGCTCCTCAGAGATTTCTCGAATACCATGATCAGTTCCACTTTCCTGTTTCAAGTTCAGTGTGCTTGGTTTCAACGACATGTAAATTAATACACAACAATGCAGAATTGGCCCAAGGCATCATTTACACTTGGTTCAACTTTCAACAATTTTAAAGACTTAGATCAGAATGTTAAAAACATCACATGACTGTACAATGATTCTCAGGGATTCACTTCAAAATTTGTCCAAGGAAAACTGGAAAATTAAGGTTTTGTGTATGAGATCTAGAAGCAGGGTCATTCACCCAGTGCTTTCCATGGATGTCAGAGTGCCGAAAAACTTCAAGGCTACTTAGGAACTGGGGATCCCTTCACTTGCCATATTCTTCTTCAGATCTAAGATAAATGAAGCAACACATTTTCTCTGTAGTCACAGGTAACGAAAATGAGGGCTTTTTTTAAATACTTGTGGCCTCCTACGTTCTTCTCGACTACCTTTGGTCTTTGTCTCAATCTAGTACTTAATGCAATTAATATTTATACTCACAAATGTCTTTGTTATTTTTGATCACCATTAGCAAGTGTTTCACCTTCCCTTAGAATGCAGTAAATAGGTATGTCAGGTTTTACTGTCCTTTAAAACCATTAAACTAAACTTTGCTTGGATAAGGTAAATTACCTGTAACGTCCACTCATACATCAGTAAGCATTACACAAAATGTAAATGCCTGAAACTTAATATTCAAAATTACTCAAGCCAACTTAAGCTAAAATTTGCCTGCTCCATTGACCGTTACCACTGCACTTAACAGACCAACCAAGAGAAGCATGCTACCAGTAATGCTAAGTGAGAGTCCAGTTGTCTGTGGCACCCCCAGCTCCTGCTTCCTCTGGCCAAAGGTTTGTGGCTAATATTCATAGGAACAACGGAGCTTTCCTTCTATCTCTTTTGGCTTAAGGAGTGGAGTAGTGGAAAGAAGAATCTACTGGGAACTGAAATATGGTTAAAAATCACTGTTCCACAAACATGAAACACTTTAGGATAGTTGAGGTGGTGAAAGAAGGCAATATGATATGAAGGAAGCTAAAAGGCAAATAACTGATTATAGAAGTCATTTATTCATTAATCCATTCATGAAACACATAAGAAACTTATTTCACAGGGCCACATTGAAATCAGTAGCAACAATAAGCTCATCCTTAAGAAAAACTGGATCCCCACACCTCCCAGGAAGCATGAATCTATCCCAGAGCTTACTCAGTTGGGCCAGAAGAACGTGCCTCTCTTTGTATCTGCTAATCACACATATATAAAATGATGGGGCCTCTCTCTGTAGCATTTCCCAAGAACACTATTTGGCTCCTCACATAGGCCCTGTCCCTTTCTCCTAAACACTTCACACTTCAAGTGTCCATGATGGATAGCTGGTAAGTTGTCAGCTTTTTCCTTTTAGAATTCAAAAGTTATATCTGTTGTTTTCAAGGCACACTTTTTGAACTAGGAACAACTATCAGTGCAATGGCAAACAGAAACACCAATATGACCCCAGACTTTGGAGGCAGATTTATTTACATTGAAAGGCACTGACCAGGATCATTCCCAAAATATCAGATCCTAGTCTGGCAGTTTGCGGCTTACGTGGGATAAGCAACCAGGAAGTACAGAAGCAGAGTACTTGAATGTCTTTGATTGGTTCTTACAACATGTATCATAGTGACCAGCTGTTTCTAGGAGACATAAGTAATAGGAACTTATAACAAGAACAGTTACCTAAGCAACTAACAGATAAGCTAGGGAGCCTTTTCTGCTACACCAGAACATAACTTTTAAAAATCTGAGATGAATATTTGAAGGTACATTTATGCAGTACCAAAAAATACTGCCTTTACTTCTGAGTCATTAATAACATGCATATAAAATTCCCAAAATACAAAAATGACCAGTGTTTGAAGAGATGGAAATGCTTAATATCCTGATGTGATTACTACACTTATATACAAGTACCGAATTACCATCACATATCATATAAAAGTATATAAATATTATATGTCTAATCTGTTAACAGATTTTTTTTTTTATTTAAGAGGAAAAAGAGAAAAACACAAAACAAACCAAAGCGGCGTAAGGGTACACGCAATACAGAACTACAAAACAAAACAAAACAAAACAAAACAAAAAACCATAACAGTAAGAAATTACCTGCTAGTAGATTACACACTATTTTCTTGAAAATAGTTCCTCAAATCACAGTATCAAAGAACACAAGGTGGACATTCAAACAGGGAGACTGCAAACAGCTGTGTTCAATGTTCCAAAAACATTGATAAAGTCAGCTATTTAACACCCCCAAACACACTTGCTTGTTAACAGATTTTTTTTAAATGCTAGTTTTCTGGTTAAAAATCAAAGTTTGGGGTCCCAGTGTACTTGAGATGATTCCTTTCAAATTTTTTTAAAGAAAATCTAGACCCAAGGAGATAGTAACAGGAAAGATTCTCCCCTTCCTGCAAGTTACATGAGGCTCAGTCCTGTTCTTTCTGTACACTCTGAAAGTGTTTTCTGGCACCCAGTTCCATCTGCTTCAAGGAACAGCAGTAGGTCTGCACCTAACGTTGGTAAATGTACTTAAAGAGATTAACAATCTGATATTACTGACTCACAGTCATGCACTGAAAATCCTGAGCTTTTGTAAAGCTAGTCAATAATTATAACAAAAGAACAAATTCCTGGGTTGTACTCCCCCAACAAGAAGACTTTACCTGGAGGCTGGGGATTTAGCTCAGTAGCATATGCACCTGGCTTGCAAGTGCACAGTTGTGAGTTCGATCCCCGGTACTGATTAAGGAAAAAAAAAAAAAAAAAGACTTTACCTTCATGCTTGGTGGCCTGGTGCGATCAAAAAGCACCAGTAACTATTCTAAGTAAATGGAAATGAGCTTGAAATCCCACATATCCAGATTTGGCAAGAATCTGGGCTCAATGTTATTAATTGATGGCTTGTTTAAACCAACCAATGATTATTGCTTTCTTTGAAGATAAGGACCAGAATTTTCTCCATGACTCAGATAAGGTAAATCTGTTTCCAGATTCAGATAAAATGCATATTCAGTAAATCAATTGTAAAGTCTTTCTCAAATAACTGCCTCAATGGAAAAAAAAAAAAAACACTAAGAACATCCAAACTTGATTTTCCAAAGCAAAAGGGTGCCAAAGAGTTTGAAAGATCCTTTGCCTACCTCACACAACCCTCCAGGTGGAGCCCTAAGTCCACAGTACACAATACCGGCCCCCTGACTGGCTTCTTAGAATAATTGTTAACAGCTGCTTATGGGCTACAGTTTATTTTAAAATAGGTCAGAGACAGTATAATGCAGCTGTGGGCTTCTGAAAACCCAGGACAGACAACCATCCTAACTGGTATAGACACTCAAGGAGTGGTCTGCTAAGATCTAGTCAAAAACCCCACAATCTACTGGTGCCTTCCTTCAGGACTTTGGTTTCCTTGTTTCCTTTGTCTCTGGCAGATCCTGAAGCTTTGCTAATTGGTGGTTAGAGTTCCTACAGCTTCTTCCTTGGGTTAGCTATGCTCCTTCCCTGCAGTTTTCCTCAGATGATCCATGTTCCTGGCTTCTCCAAACTCTTGGGATCGCTGCTGGATCTTTGGCTTCACACTCACAGTGTCACATACATTGCCCTAGGGGGTACACTTCCTTGCCTCCCAGGCCTTTTTCTGAAATCACAGTGGAAGCATTTCTGACCCCACAATTCTTGCATCCTGCATGAGCCTAAAACCAATACAGTGTGGATGATGCCAAGGCCTGCTGCCAACTAGAGCAGTAGCCAGGATTCCTTCTCTCTTGGCAGTAGGACTAGAATGCCTGTGAACCAAATCCTAAGGAACAGTTAATTCCCCTAGGCTGCCCTCATTCTGGAACATGGGCTGTCTTCTCAGAGCAATGCGTTGCTTTTGCAACTCTGAATCTGCCAAACCTGGAGTTCTCTTGGTTCTTGTGATGTCCTCAGGTCATCTTTTCTGCTGTCTTTTTCTGAAATATTTGTCTTTTTTACAACCAATTTTTCCTCTATTTCAACTTTGCAGGCCACAGTTTTACTGGAACTTCTTTT